AATCACTCGTACGCACAACTTAAGAAAGAATCTGTGCGTACGAACGGTTCTTGCATGAGGCCCAATTTCTCTAAGTTTGATAGTAAAAGCCCTAAAAATTAAACTTGTAATGTTTGATCAGCTGGTGGTGCCACTGATGCCAAATCCTCAGTAAGAAAATTCACTATTGGCTATCCTGAAAGCTGCTACAAGTGCATCATATAATTTACATATTTGGACATTTTTGCACAGGAGTCATTGGCAGAGTGGATCTCCTCTCTGCTCTGACTGCAGAGGCAGTGAGTCAGAGCGTCAGCACTTTGGAAAGGGAGAGGGGCCTCACAACACCGCCCACTGCCTGCTGAGGGAAGTGCAGTCGCAAAAGTTTCTAAAAACCAAAAAAAAAAAATGTCACTAGATTTGTCACTAGGATCTTTTTGGGAAAAAAAAGTCTGAGAGGTCTGAAAACTTACTAAACAGTAACAGAATTGCTAAGTTGGCAACAGTTGGCGCAGTGATTAGAGTTGTTCCCTCTCAGTGAGAAGGTTGCAGGAAGGGCCTGCTGGTCTTTGTGGGTGGAGTTGTGCCTGGGAACACCTGGACCCTCCAGCTTCACCCCATAAACCAAAACAACATGTTGGATTCATTGGTAACTCTAAGTTGTCTYTGGGTCTGAGTGTRTYGTTTATCTTTATGTGTCTCTGTGATGGACTTGTTACCTGTCCGTGTGTCCCCCTGGTGAGGAGAAGTGTAAATAAAATGGATGGACATGAGCCACAGAGCACAAATATGCAGAAAAGGGTATAACTGAGGCCCACTTTTTGTTTTTCAGGCTCATAAGAGAAGTCCTTTTGAACATAACAAAATACAGCTGTGAAAGAATTTTACATTAACTCATATTAAACAGCTGCACGACTTTGTGTGTTTGGTTAGCTGCCATGACTGATGGGCTCAACCAGGGGTGGGGGGCAATGAATTTTAAAAAGTGAAAAGAAATGGGGTTAATATGACTAAAACTAGACAGTCTGTTAAAATATTTCAAAACTCTCAAAATTTGCATTGAAGAAAGTCTAACCACGTTTGTGCTACATGTTCTCACAGTAATTATATATGTGTAAACTTTGGTCAGTGCCTGCTWGCATCAAACATTTCAAAGTAGTATGGGAATGTTTTAAAATGAGATAAATCAAATATAATCATAAAAAGACCCAGTAAACAGGTCATAGGTTGAAATCCCTAGGAGGAGTTCGCAAAAGTTCGACGTGAGCGAAATTGAAAATCGACCAAAATTTGACTTTTGACCCAAAATGGCCGACTTCCTGTTGGTTTTAGAGCATACCTCCAAGAGACCTTTTTCTTGATTTGGAGAGATCTACCTATGTGCAAAATTTCAAGCACACTAATCAAAAATCAGCTTCATCGTTTGTCTCCTCAGCTGAGAGGCTGCAGAGCTGCTCCCGCTCCTCTGTGCTCTTTGGGTCTCTCACAGTCCTGCATGTTCTTTGCAACGCATGATAATGATCACAAACACTGTTACATATCTAGCTCTGCATCAGGATGCTTCTGTTTTGCACTGTATTTTATGAGTTTGTTGTTCAGGTGCGTGCTCTGTTATTGTTCTATGTTCCAGTTACAGCGGGTAAGATAAGTATTGAACACGTCACCATTTTTCTCAGTAAATATATTACTAGAGGTGCTAAAGACATGAAATTTTCACCAGATGTTGGTAACAAT